TGACTTGGTCCAGCTATCTTTATAGTTGACCCTACGCTACTAGTGTCACAGGACCTCCATAATTCCCATACGGGAATTATGTGTATCCACCTGGAATCCATTGCCTGCCATTTCTCTGGTTCCCTCATTGGGGCCTAGATCCGACCGCCTGCATGACACTCTGGAGAGGTCAAAACACCTTAATATTAGACTGGGATTTCACTAGCCAATCTGGTGGCGCCATGAGTTCTTGTAGTATCTTCTCAGACTTTGGCCTCACAGTACGTCTCATGATTTCAGTTATTCCAAATCGGGGTTCTAACACGCCTTGCTTCACAGCCACAACTTCTCGGAATAACTATTCTCTGAATACGTCTATCCGTAAATGTCCTGAGTTCTCTATACCCCGCAGTGTTTCACTTCCATATTTGGGTTTTTCATTATTTCGCTGCTAGGAGGAATTGAACCAGCAACCGTCCAATTTGCAACCTGGGAGCATAACCACTATGCTATCAACCCACAGGTCTAATTTTTTTGCAAAAATGCTCTCTTTTGCAAAGAAATTTACATAGTAAAAAAAAGGTTTTTTAAAGATATCTCAGCATCTACCAGGCTGATTTTGATGTTCTAACTACCATTAGATGTATTTTAACAAGCTTTACAAAAGTTTTTTAAGTTAGAAGGGTGATTAACTTAGTATAAAAAAAAGTTTTAGATTTATGCAAGCCATATTCGCACTATAGTAAATTTATATAGTAATTTGAGTCACATTTCACTATGATACTCTCTGGCTTACTCATGAACTCCCAATTAATTATGGCATTTTTTAATTATTTTATTTTATTTTTTTATAGGTTTATATTTATTTTATTTTATTTTACATTTTATTTTTATTTTATATATGTATTTTTATATTTAATTTGATTTGATTTGATTTATTTTAATTATTTTTTAATTATTTTTGCTTATATTTTTTAATTTTTTTAAAATTTTTTTGATTTAATTTGATTTAATTAATTTAATTTAATTTACCCATTTTTATATTTTATTTTATTTAATTTAAATACTTTTATATTTAAGTTAATTTAATTAATTTAATTTAATTTACCTGTTTTTACATTTTATTTTATTTAATTTAAATGTTTTTATATTTAAGTTAATTTAATTAATTTTTATATACAGTCTAACCTCCCTATAATCACACCCCTCGAGATAAAGATTTGTGTGATTGTAAAAAGAATTTTATTAAGATGTGCTTATAAAGAAGTTTTTTCTATATGTTTATAATAGTTGGTTTTAAAATAAATGTGCTTATAAAGAGAATTTTTATATGATGTGCTTATATAGAGAGTGACTATAGGGAGGTTTGACTGTATTAATTTTTTTTTAAATTATTTTATTTATTTTATTCTATATCAATTTTGCTTATTTTTTTTATTTTTCAAGGGGTTTTTTTATTTTTTAATATTGCTTTTTTTTGACTTTTTTTTTCTTTAATTTATCTTCAGTTTTTTTTTAGTTTATTCATTTTTTTTTAATTAATTAGTTCTTTTTTAAATTAATCATTTTTTTTTTTTTTTAATTTATCGTTTTTCTTTTTTTTAATTTAATGTTATCATTTCTTTTTAAATATAGTTTTTTGTTATTGTAGTTTTGCTTGTTTTTTTTTTTTAGTATTTTTTTTTTAATTTTTTATTATCTTAAATTATTATCATTATTTTAAATAAAAGACAATTAAAAATTCAAACTCTGCCGAAGCAGAGTTTGAATTTTGCCAATTTTGCAGAAATGCGAAATGACAAAAGTCACGTGACCCCACCACCAAGACGGACTTTAAAAATCTCCGATTAATGGAGTTACTTATGATACACTAATTTCTGTCACAAAAAAAAGTAACAGGCTCTATAAAATACTCCTGCTGACGCAGAGGTATTTCATAGAGCCCATTACTTTTTTTTTGTGACAGAGATTAGCCTATTATAAGTAGGAAGATTAGATTTAATGCTATAGTACTTGTCATTTAGAGATAGTTTTCATATGCTATCTGCCAACAAGTTAAGAGTTTATCACTTACCTTTTTAAATGCAACTTAGTGTAAAATTTTACAAGTTTAAAAGATTCGTACAAAGCCTAGTAAAGTTAAAGCATGACTGCTGAATTATTAAAAAAAAAAAAATCTTTTTTTCTAAACTAATTAACTTGCCAATTTGGCTATATTATTATTAAATATAGTGTGAAAATTTTTAAATACTTGCTGCAATTTATTTACTATTTCACTCCAATTAGAATTTGTTCTAGCCATGTTAAGAACTATATAGTTTACTAATAAAGCATGAGTTTCTTTTTGTTGATATTCAGGTTCACAGAAATAAAATTTGAGATTGTTCTAAAAGTATTTTTGCAATATTAGATGTATTATTTAAAGAATTTTATTTATTATATATAAATTTCATAATTAATCATTTATTATTATAGTTTTTAGCAAAAATCTAAAGTAACTACCAAAAAGCAGATTATTATAAAAGTGAATGATTATTAATTAATTAATTATAATTATTATTATCTGTCATGTATTTTTGGTAGTTACTCTGGCAAATTTAAACAATAGGTTATAACTAACCTGATTTGATATAACTGGTGACAAACAAATTGTATTCAATGCCCATAAAACTAGATCTTTACACATTTCTAACTATTGCAAAAGCTATGCTTTATTATAAAAAAGAAGTTTATTATTTGAAGCTAAAACTGTTATATAAACTTTATTTGGCTAAATTATCAAATATAAATTAGCATTTTGAATGTTCAAATGGGTTGTATTGTACTAGTTAAATGAAGAAACAATTTCATTTCTGATGATTCATTTTTTGATGATTCATCCTCATAGTCAAATTGATACTTACTATAACTATTAGAATGCTAAAAAAAGAACTGGTTTTTGGCTTAATTTAATAAATATTTGAAGCACTGGGTTTTATATTTAGTACTTTATCTTGATATTTAGTAGCTGCAAAAGATAAATGCATATTTTGATTTCAAATTTGCTAATCTTTGACAAAGGTTTGCTCTAAAGATGTATAACTTTGTTGATAATATTCAGTATATTTGTCAAATTGCAAAATATTTACTAGTATATTTAAAGTAGTTAGTGACTTTAAAGATATTTTTGCATTTTGTTTAACATTTTCTTATTTAAATATTGTAACAAATATAATTATTAAGAAAATCAAATTATATTATAATTATATAGTATATATGTAGAAATTTATTTAAAAAATAGAAAATTATTGAAATAACTAAAATTATATCAATTACCTTTACTATTCACTTGACATTGTTTTTATAGCTTTTTGGATTTGAAAAGTTGTTTGAAAGTTCAGATATGCCTGGTTCTGTATGTGCATATGTGTAAAAAATTTATTTAAAAAATAGAAAATTATTGAAATAACCAAAATTATATATCAATTACTTTTACTATTTACTTGATATTGTTTTTATAGCTTTTTGAGGTTTGAAAAGTTGTTTGAAAGTTCAGATATGCCTGGTTCTGTTTGTGAAGTATTAGTTTTTTTTTTGTACTTCTTGTTACTAGTTTATCTATTAAAAAGCTAGATTGAGCTAGTTCTAGTGAAAAAGATAAAAGGTTTAAATTATTTGTATATAAATTATTTATATATATATATATATGTATAATCAGAGTTATTGCCTGCTATATTAGAAGAACAATACAAACTAATAATATCATATGATTACACATATAAAAAAAAATATGTATAATAAAATCAGACTTTTTCATCTTTTTTACTTTTTTTATCTTTGCACATTCAAAAAAATTCAAAAATTCAAATATTTGAATACTTCTGTATGCAATTTTAAGAGCTGTGATATTGAAATATGTTTTATAAAAGAAATATAATAAAAAAACAGTAATAATAACCAAACTTTGGGTTTATACCCATCTTACTATATATATCTATTTGCAAGAAAAACAGATATATTTACTTTGGTACTTGGTTTTTTTTTGTATTGTAATTGTTTCCATACTAGATATTTGTATCAGTTTTTCTTTCTATATGAAACCATGTTTGCTCTTAGAAACAGGCTTAAAAAAAGTATACCACAACAGTTCTATAATATACATCTATATATTAAAAAAATTTATTTAGATAATTATAATATTTTTGAATTTTATAACTTGGATTATAACAATAATGATTTGAATTATATGAACCTGCAAAATAATAATAGCTTAAACTATAATAACCAACAAAATAATAATCATGATCAAATTTATAGTAATAATTAATAGTTTGATGGTCATAATATAAGTTTAGAACTTAGTCAAAAATTCAGTAAATTTGATGTCTTGAATTATGATAATTCAGAGAATACCTATAGTAAAAATGAATTTAATACTGATATAGATTGTAGTTTAGATAATGAGAGTAAACTAATCTCAACTAATATATCATATAATGAGAATGAATCTATCTCAACTAATATAGATAATCTATTGAAGATATTTGATAGAATCAAATACAAATTGAGTTCAAATCATGATTGCTTATTTGGGTCCTTTAAAAATTTTACAAATCTTACTATATTTATATAGATTACTAAATACATGATTTGTAAATATTACAACTCAATTTAGATATATAACTATTAAACTTAAATACTACTTATCTTTTTTTAGCAACTGCAGTCTACCAAGATTTGATCTAAATTTTACTTTATCTTAACTTCGAAAAAATTATTTAACTATTAATTTACAAAATCTTAAAACACAACACAAACATCTGCTTTTAATAAAAATTCAAAATCACATAGTTTTAATAAGTATTAAAAATATACTATCAACTACTAAAGATTTCACTTGAGTTTATTTCTTTTCTTTAATTAAATATCTTCAACATATATTAAAAAATTCTTCACTTAGTTTCCAATTATTTTTTAGAATCATGTGAAGAATTATGAGAAGTAGATCTCTATACCGAATTTTCTTTTTTTTGGCTAACCAAATTTAATAACAATACAAGACATATATTGATTTTTATCTACTATAAATACAATATTATTTATATAATTTTTTTATTAATTATTTTATTCTTAGGTTTATTCAATTTTGAAGACTTTGTTCACTACAAATCAGTTTCAGAAACTATTAAAGTTGGTCGAATTTAATTTTTTGTAATCATGGATAAACAAATAGCAGTCCAAATTCAAAGATTACTTTCTTATAACCAAATTTTACAATATCTGAGTTCAAAACAATATATTTTATATTTACTACAAGAATAATATTTGGTTAAAGAACTCAACTCTTTTATTATTAACTCTTCATTATTAATATATCATATTAGCATTTGGCTACAAGATCTGTCTACTCTATCTTTAAGTATTTCTTTGTAAGCCAAATATTATATAAATATAATAGCCAATGAAAACTTCATTCAATAAAGTTACATCACCAATATCTAGCTGAACATATACCTGTCAGATTGCTGAAATATATAAATATGTTTGTCTTTAAATTTTATTTAGATCTATATTATGATGACTTTGGCACTTTTTGTAACATATATCATTTTTTGGGTGAAGTCTATCTGCAAGTAGAAAACATGCTATAATGATTGAGAAAATGACTAAAAAACCACTTTATAATTGGCTTAGTACTATTTGGTAAAAATCTTAAAGACTTTATTAAAGTTATTATTAATGAAATTCAACAACTGAAGCAAGTATTTATAATAAATATAAATAGTATCAATTGTTAGATTTTAGGCAGATTAGCAATAGCTACAGTAGATCTTTTACAAAATAATGATATTGCAGGTGTTTTATGTCATAATGCTAATATAGGGTGTTATAGCTGTAAAGCTTCTAAGAATAATCTAACAAATGTTTTATTTGATATATATTTTAATAGTCATTATCATCAAATAACTAATTAGAAATTTCAAAATATAAGAGAACAATTAACAAATATAGCACAATCACAACTACTAATCAGAAATTTCAAAATATAAAAGAACAATTAACAAATATAGCACAATCACAACTTGGTTCACAATATGGGTTATGGTCATTACCAAGCCCACTTGATCCTGTTCTTTATAACTGTCATTAATATATTTCACAAGATATATATTATATAATCACAGAGAAAGTGCCAAGACTCCTTGATTGCACTTGCTTTATTCTAACTCCAAGAAGAAAATAACTTGATCAACTATTAGAAATATTTTAAATACTAACTAAATAGTCATGTTTATCAAATTCGATTTCATATAGACATTCATTTATAATATTTGATGTTTTATATATTTTGATAATATTTCTCTTTATATTAAAATATTTTTTAAAAATTAATAATATAAAATCTAGTTTTTTAGAAGAAGTAAAAATTTGATTAAATTTTTCTTGCCAAAGTGATATTGTAAATCATCTTATTCAAGTTTGAGTATTTTTTGCAAAAGCTAGCAAAAAGGTTTTTTTATTAGTTATTGATAGACAATATAGATATGTTCAGCTTCAGAAAGCTCTAAACAAAGAGCTAAATATTTTAATCAATATAAGTTTTTTTTTTAAAAAAATTCAGCAGTCTTGCCTTTACTTTATTAGACTTTATAATATTATACTGTGAAATATTAAAATTTTCAAAGAGTATAAATCTTAATGCTATCTAAATTACAAATATTAGCTCATCTAGCTCTTTGTAACCAGAGTTTAAATTACCCATATGTGACCTGCTATAGACAAATTCTTCTTCAAAATATTCTTTTCTGCACTTGAAAAAAATAGATCTTCACCAAAAGGTTTCACTGGCTTGTCAAGACTACCTATCCTTCTTTCTAAACTTTTTCCACCTAGATCTGGGCAGAATAGTTTATCTCTTACTTTTCTGTAAGGGAAGAAAAAATATACCACATCTATGAAAGAAAACAAAACTATCTAGAAAAAGAAAGAGAAAAACAAAAAAAAGAAAAAAAAAACATTTAACCAAAAAAAAAGGATTCTAAATATAGTTTCATTATAATAGAATAGAAATAAAAAGAGCAGAAAAAAAGACATAGAAGTCCTGACGAACCACTTTAAAAAAAAAACAAACAAAAGAAACAAAAAGAAAAAAATATACTATTATAACCCATGCCAAGTATAAAGATAAAAATTATATACTAATTACAACTAATTAATCTATTTTAGCTATAAAGCTTTGCTTTAATATTGGGACTTGTTCTAAACATATTACCAGGGTTAGGTATCTTCTAAATGAGATTATCAATCTCATCTCTGTATTATAGCACTGTAATAATAAACAAAACAAATATGTGGTTGTGTTCTACTGAGTTTGTCTGAATTAGATAAATGTAAATAATGCCAATCTTTTGGAGGAGATAAGCTAAAATGTACACTTTTTGTTGAAAATTTTTGATAAGATCAGCAAGATGTAAGAGAAAGAAAAAATATTTGAAACTACTAAAAGAGCATAGGTTTTCTTTTACTAAAATCAACTATCCACCTGAGCTTGCACAGTACTAAGTCTTTTTAGTAAGTGATAAACTCTAAACTTATCAGCAAGTAGTATATGAGAACTATTTCTAAATGACAAGTGCTATGTTTACAGTCAGTGAGTGATAAACTCTGAGGCTATTAGCAGGTAGTATATAAAAACTACCTCTAAAT